CCATTATCACCTCTGTAATTCGATTTTCGGAAGAAAGCTTGGATGAAAGAAGATAGCTACTGAATCTTCTTGGCTCACGCAGGGTTATAGTTGCATCCCAACATTGTCCATGGCCATGGCTCGTTTTTTGTGCAATATGAAATCGCGCAACCAATTTTGTACGTCCATTGCCAAACCACCTGCAATGACACAGTTTTAGTACAAACTCATTCCCCAGAAGCACATTTTTCTATTACCTGCATGTAGTGACCAGTTTTGTGCTCATTTGGCGCGACTACGATGTTGTTCTCTGGAACACCAAAAACCTGTAACTCCTGCCACCATGATATGACGGCCTGCAATTGTATGAATCATTTTCGAGAAAGGCGCGTCTCAGCTTAAAATTCTTACCGTTTCTGCAAGTGACGGCAAGGTGTAATTGTAGTACTTATCTCCTATCATAAATATGTTTTGTCCCCAGTAGTTCCTATATGCGGGTGGAGGGTGATAGAAAAGACACTGCTTTGCCCATTTCATCATGTTAGCTTCCATGGCGCAATCATAACTCTATAAGAAGTCTTAGACACTTTGTTTTTGTTGCCTCACAATAACACGCTTGAGGCAAAGTTGGAAAGATCTACCTTATGATCAAGAATTATCATGTCTTACCACTTTTAACATTCGAGCTGCTTTTGGAGCAAATCCACCGAATGCATTCTTAGACTTTCCTTGAGCAGTCTGCGATCTGAAAATTAATCATTCCGATTTTATTTTTGCAGTTTCTCAGTGGTTTACCAACCGGAGCTTATTGTGCGTATCAACGAAAACACTTCTAACTTCATTTGTCATGCCATTGTCGGAAGGACAAACAATAAACTCAGCTAAAATGTTGATTCAAATCTTTATAAACTATAGCGCAACGTTGAAAGTTTTTGAAAAATGGTAGTAACGTACCAGCCACCCATGATGGCGACAGAAGCGCCTAAACTCGTGTTGTTAAAAAGACCATTCTTCTTTGTCAACAGCTAATGGGAATATTAACTTACCAAGCAGGCAATCGCAATAGGTATTAGCATACCTCACGAAGGATGTGAATGTCTGTAATTTCCCAGTGGTGCTTTTATATAGACGTTCCCATTCCCTCAGTGGTGAATATAATAGGCGATAGCAGCTGATAAAACTTTTACTTTCCGAATAGCCAACTGCATTTCCATTGTTTTCGTGGCACTGTACTCACATTGACTGCTAGAACAATGGGAAAGTAAAATCGATGTTTAACTTCGTTGCCCAATCCTGCAGGGGAAATGTTTTTCACTCGCTGATAGATTCAGCCCACTTTTACAAAAATATATTGGAGTTATCAAATGAATGAGAGCCTAAGGATTCTAATCTCACTTGCTGTATCCATATTAACACATTTTCTGTATAAGTTTATGAGATCTTGTGAATTGTGTGAAAGGTTTGATGGTGTGGCATAGTGTCCAGCAAAAAAACCATTGTCGAGATTTAGAACCATTAGCAAAAGATTCTTACACCATTCCTGGATGCTGGATGCCGTCTGTGTGATTGCTGATTCCTCGCGTATACACCTATCGGTAGCTTTTTTTCAAAGAAGAATGTAATGAAAAAACGGAAAATGGGACGTTCAATGATTCTTATCGGACTTTGACAAAATGACCCTTCATACTAGGGATTACGCTTCGAATCGTAGCTCTTGTAGAACTTGTAAAGTTGATTTCAATGGTGTTTCGTCTGGANAAATTAGAGAGAGTTAAAAAAATAACCGGAACGTACCAGCCGACAATATTGGCGTCAGAAGAACCTAAATGCATTAAGTTGAAAATTCTATTTGCTATCATCACCACTCTACGGAACTACAAACTTACCAAGCAGGCAATCGTAATAGGTATTTGCATACCTAACAATGAACTGAACGACTATAGCACCATGCTGGTGCTTTTATATGCTCACTCCCATTCCACCTTTCGTTAAATCATGGGGTTGACAGCTGTTAAAACTTTCACTTTAGTTTTTTTCAATTATTCAAGTACATTGAAATCGGATTTGGGATCGAAGATGATCGCTAGATCTCCTTCTATTCACAGATGCTTCTTTTTTGCTCACCTCTTAA